TATCAGATATAAGCTCCAAAATATACTTCCTTTGGTTCAGAATTATCCCAGCCTTGGATCTCAAAATTTCAATCCCCAAAAAATATCTGAGTTGTCCCAAATCCTTAAGTTTAAACTGCTGATGTAACACTTGTTTTGTCTCTTTGATCAATACCTCACTGTCCCCAGTAATAAGTAAGTCATCAACATAGATCAAAACAATTACCATCCCCTCGGGCTTCTTTAAAGTGAATAAGGAGTAGTCATGAGCACTTTGAATGAAGCCAGCAGCTAATAAGGAAGAAGTGAGCTTAATATTCCACTGCCTAGAGGCCTGTTTAAGCCCATACAATGACTTAATGAGTTTGCAGACTTTGGTTGGACCTGGACTTCGGAACCCTTCAGGCATCTCCATGTAGACCTCTTCCTCTAAATCCCCTTGTAGAAAAGCATTATGCACATCCATTTGGTATAAACACCAATGCTTAGAAGCAGCTAAGGCAATGACACATCTAACAGTGACCATCTTTGCAACAGGAGAAAAAGTGTCATGGTAGTCCAGGCCCTCTTGTTGGCTATACCCCTTAGCCACTAGTCGTGCCTTGAATCTTTCCACTTCACCATTGGCCTGGTATTTTATTTTGTACACCCATTTTGATCCTACAGTATTCTTGCCTTGTGGTAAGTCAACTACTTGCCAAGTTTTATTTTCCTCAAGAGCTTGTATTTCTAGCTTCATGGCTTGAATCCATCTATCATCTTTAATAGCTTGTCTGAAAGTCTGAGGTTCAACTAAGGTAGAAAATTTTGCCAGATAGCTATGATAATGGGGAGAAACAGTATTGTATGAGAGATGATTGGCAAGAGGATACTTACTGCATGTACCCTTTCCAGGAGCTGTATAGTCTTTCATCCAAATGGGCTATCTAGTGAGTCTGCTGGTTTTCCTGAGAGGAACAATAGGTACAGGGGAGTCATGAGGTTCTTCAACCAAAGGAACAACATGTGATGCAGAACTGGGCAAGTCCTGAGAGTATGTAGCTTGCGGAAGAACTTCCCCGTTAGAAATATCACCAACATGAATAGAAGTAGCGGGAGTAGAGAGCTCATTAGGTAACAACTCATCATAACAAGTAGGAGGTGATACACCTGTCTTATCTGCAAGAGAATGGGATGAAGCAAAAGGAAATGTGTGTTCTTGAAAATTGACATCTCTATGAACAAACAACTTCTGTGTATGTAGATTTAGCAATAAGTAGCCTTTCTGTGTGTCTGAGTACCCCATCAAGACAGCAGGGGTGGCTCTTTCGGAAAACTTGTCACCTTTGGGAATTACTGAAGCATAACCAAGACAACCAATCACTCGCAAATGACTCAGGTTAGGAGGTTTGGAAAATAGCATTTCATAGGGACTCTTGCCATTGATAGCAGAAAAGGGTAGTCTGTTCATTAAATATACAGCAGCCTTAATACAGAGACCCCAATATCTCAATGGCATAGAGGATTGAAATCTGATGGCCCTGGCAATATTCAAGATTTGTCTATGCTTCCTTTCAACAACACCATTCTGTTGTGGTGTATAAGGACAACTGCTCTGATGTGTAACTCCTAAGGTCATGAATAATTCCCTGCACTGAGAGTTAAAAAACTCTGTGCCATTGTCTGTCCTGACTGCTTTGATAGTGAGACCAAACTAAGTCTTAATCATATGAAAAAAACTTTTAATGGCTACAATAGTTTCAGATTTAAGCTGAAGTAAATGAATCCAAGAGTATCTACTATGATCATCAACGATTGTTAGAAAATAGTATTTCTTGTCAAAGGTGGGAACCTTATAGGGTCCCCAAAGATCCATGTGCACAATGTCAAAAAACATAGATGATCTAGACTCACTAATAGGAAATGGTAGTCTAGTCTGTTTAGCTAATGGGCAGACTGAACAATTATTGAGAGATTCTGCATCCTTATTATTATGAAGTAAATCTAAACACTTCAAGGTATGGGATGAAGGATGACCAAGTCTTCTATGCCATAAGCCACAATCCTGCTTTGATACTCCTGCTGCTATCCTCGGATGCTTTTGAACTCCACTGTGTTTTGTTTCTCCACATGCACCTTTGAAAAAATATAAACTTCCTTCCTCCCTACCAATCCCCTTCACCCTGCCACTGTAAAGATCCTGAAACACACAGAAGTCAGGGTAAAAGGAAACAAAGCAGGAGAGTTCCTTGGTTATTTTGGACACTGACAGTAAGTTGAACTTGAAGTCAGGAACAACCAGTACATCCTTCACAGTTTCAGAATTAAACATACATGCCTCTCCAATATGTGATATTTCATCCTTATCTCCTGTGGGCAAATTTACTCTTTCTCCTTGAGACTTATCTAAACATCTACTGGTGGTTAACAACTTTCTATCGGCTGTAATATGATGAGAACAACCAGAGTCTACTATCCAAGTATGTGAAGAAACATTGGATGAGAAACAAGTAGCCTTACCTGTCATATTGGCCTGCTTCACCTCTTTGTTGTCTTTATGCAGCATGTCCATAATTTGTCGATATTCTCCATCAGTGAATCCATGTGCCTTAGCCATAAAAGCATTGTTCACCTCTTGGCTGTTGGTATTAGTGTGATCCACCTGATCTCTAGAGCCAGCAGTCACATTTGCTGAGAGTTGCCCAGTGTTGCCTCTATTACCACCAAAATTTCCAAATCCTTGATTATTTTGTCCTCCAGAGTCATGCACAGATTGTCCCTTTGAGTTACTATTGTTATAACCAGATTTTCTTCTCTGTTTCCAGTCAGCAGGATATCCAATTAGTTTGTAACAATTCTCCTTAGTGTGACCAGTAAAATGACAATACTCACACTTCCTTCCTTTATAATTCTGATTTCCAGTATTGAACACATGACCTCTGTTAACTTGCATTGCAAGAGGTGTTGCATCAGGTTTCTCACACGCAGCAGCTACACAAGTTGAATGTTGAATTTCATCCTCTATAATCATGGCATATGCCTGATTGATAGAAGGAGTTACACCTTTCAGCAGAATTTGTCTACGAGCCTGATCATAGGACTCATTCAAACCACTCAAAAACTGAATTAGGCGCATCTGATACATGTGATCTGCATATTCCTTTGATTTTGGGCAAGCACAACTTGGTGAAGGAACCAGTGCATCAAACTCTCCCTATAAATTCTTCAATTTAGTAAAGTAAGTAGAAACAAAATCAGTACCTTGTGAAAGTGTGTGGATCTCTCTATGCAGTTGATAAATTCTCATTCGATTGACCTTGTCGAATCGCTCTTTCAAGTCTTCCCAGACAGTGTAAGCAGTTGTGGCGTACACAATACCACTTAGAAGTTCTTCACTGACCGTACTCATTAACCATGAAAGGACCATCGCATTACAAGTCTCCCATTGCTCGTGTAATGCATCTGGATACAGAGTTCGACTACAAGCTCCCGTAACAAAACCATACTTCCTTTTTCCCAATAACGCAATACGCATCGATCGACTCCAGATTCCGTAATTCTCAGATCCAGTCAATTTGATAGGAATCAACACCGCACCTGAAGCATCTGATGGACCTATGTACAAAGGATCATTCTGATCTATTTTGATAGGAGCCATTGTCGTCTTCTACACAACTTGTCGTCTTCTACACAGCCAGTATCGACTGCTCTGATACCATGTAAAAATTCTAATTCACTCAATCCTCCATTGATGAATCTATGAAGAAGAAAGAATTAGGAAGAAGAAGAAGATATTATTTATGTTTTCTCAAACCACACTTTACACGTGATTGTCCCTTATATACATACGTCACTTATTCTAGAATATTCTCACAACTAACTAATTCTCATTATTGACACCTAATCGTTTTTACTAACTAATTACAGCTGAAAACAGTTATAACTAACTGCTACAGTGAATAACAGAAAAGTGGACAATGGACTAAAATGTAAAATGTGCACATCTCAACAGTATTTGATACAGATCCCAGACATGCGGATCATAAAGAAAAAAATTGCTAACGACTTAAAATGCATGCTTTCAAGCAGAATCAAGAAGTAAAAGATAGAAATTTTACTTTACTGACCATACTTACTGATTAAACAAACAATCTGTGGAGTACTTTACTTACCGTACTTATTGATTAAACAACAATATGAGGAGAAATTTTTTTTACCTGACAATATTGTATTTGATTGAGGCACAGAAAAGAGTAATAGCTAATTGGCAATAACAACTTGTTGGAGACATTTATATAGATGCCTGAAGTATCTGTAAAGGCTTTCGATCAGCTGAACCTGAGCGTCGAAAAAGGTCTGTCGCACTGATCGAGGAGTTTGAGCAGAAACTCTACGTCTCTGTTACGTTGAACGATGAGGCTGAGGCAACGTTTGGTTTCTGGAGAATTAAATTAGGTATTATCAGCTAATTTATTATGAGCTAATTTATAATAAATTAATCTTTATGAAAACTGTAGGGTTAAAACGGTAAATCAACTTTTGGGTTAAACTCTTCCTACTTATAATAATATATGATTGGTCTATTTGAGTATGAATTTTCTTGGTAAGTGTAGATCATAATCATCTTGAGCATGACCCACCCAATAATTCAAATCCTACTTTCTTAGAATTATATTACTCATTTCCTTTATCTAATGGTGGTGTCCACCAATAATAAATTATTATTGTATGGAATTTGATACTCAAGTCAAGAAAGAATAGAGTAAAATATACCAAAGTGAAGAGGGAGACAGCTAAGCTGTGGAAAATTGCTATCTTTTTGAAAAGAGAAAAAAGATTGTTTCTCTTTTCTTTCTTTGACCAAAGAGATAGTTATTGGTATAGCAATTGCAAATTAAGAACACCATATTGTTTGCATATTGCTCTAGCATTCAACAGGTAAATTCAATCTCTTAATTCCTAGCAAAAATAGACAACCATCTTTAATTTTTGCCATTCTTGTCCATTTTTTGATTCTTTGTTTTGTTTTTCAGATTTCAGAAATGGATATTGGCTTGGCAGTTGGTGGTGCATTTCTCTCTTCAGCTTTGAATGTTCTCTTTGATAGGCTTTCTCCTCAGGGTGAGCTTCTCAAGATGTTTCAGAAGCATACGCATCATGTTCGTCTCTTAAAAAAGCTTAAAATGACTTTGTGTGGTCTTCAGATTGTGCTAAGTGATGCAGAGGATAAGCAAGCATCAAATCCATTTGTGAGCGACTGGCTTAATTAGCTTCGAGATGCTGTGGACTCTGCTGAGAACTTAATTGAAGAAGTCAATTGTGAAGCTTTGAGGCTTAAGGTGGAAGGCCAGCATCAAAATCTTGCAGAAACAAGCAACCAGCAAGTAAGTCACCTCAGCTTGTCCTTGAGTGATGAATTTTTTCTTAACATAAAGGATAAGTTGGAAGAAAATATTGAAACATTGGAGGAGTTACAAAAGCAAATTGGTTGTCTTGACCTGAAATTGTGTCTTGATTCGGGTAAACAAGAAACTAGAAGACCTTCAACTTCTGTGGTTGATGAATCTGATATCTTTGGTAGGCAGAGTGAAACAGAGGAATTGGTGGGCCGTTTATTATCTGTTGATGGAAATGGTAGAAGTTTAACTGTAATCCCTGTTGTTGGAATGGGGGGCGTGGGCAAGACAACACTTGCTAAAGCTGTTTACAATGATGAGAAGGTGAACGACCATTTTGATTTGAAAGCTTGGTTTTGTGTGTCTGAACAATATGATGCTTTCAGAATAGCAAAAGGATTGCTTCAAGAGATTGGCTTACAGGTTGATGATAATATAAATCAGATTCAGATCAAATTGAAGGAGAGCTTAAAAGGTAAAAGTTTCTTATTGTTCTAGATGATGTTTGGAATGACCACTATAATTAGTGGGATGACTTGAGAAATCTTTTTGTGCAAGGAGATCTCGGAAGTAAGATCATTGTGACAACACGTAAGGAGAGTGTGCCTTGATGATGGGTGGTGGGGCAATGAATGTGGGGATTCTGTCTAATGAAGTCTCTTGGGCTTTATTCAAACGACATTCATTAGAAAACAGGGATCCTGAGGAACATCTAGAACTTGAAGAGATTGGAAAGAAAATTGCAGAGAAATGCAAAGGATTGCCTTTAGCTATAAAGACCCTTGCTGGGATGTTACGCTCAAAATCAACGATTGAAAAGTGGAAGCGCATTTTGAGAAGTGAAATATGGGAGCTGCCAGACAATGGAATGTTACCAGCATTGATGTTGAGCTACAATGATCTTCCTCCACATTTGAAGCGATGCTTTTCCTATTGCGCAATATTTCCAAAAGATTATCAATTTTACAAAGAACAAGTCATTCAACTGTGGATTGCTAATGGTCTAGTACAGCAGTTGCAGAAAGATGAAGCGGTTGAAGAACTAGGCAACCAATACATTCTCGAGTTGAGATCAAGACATTGTTAGACAGGGTCCCTGATTCTTTTGCATGGAAGGGAGGGGTATTCTTAAGGCAGGACTTGGACAAATATTCTCAAATGGATGGTGAGAAATTCGTTATGCATGACCTTGTCAATGATCTTGCCCAAATTGCATCTCAAAACTTTGTACCAGGTTGGAAGACATCGAAGGACATCATATGTTTGAACGAACTCAACACTTGTCGTATTCCATGGGTGATAACTTTTCGTCATTTTCAATAGGAGATGGTGATTTTGGTAAATTGAAAACCCTCTACAAATTGGAGCAATTAAGGACATTGCTTCCGATAAATATCCAGCTTCATTTGTTTTCAGTTAATCTAATCAAGAGGGTGCTGCATAACATACTTCCAAGACTAACATTTTTAAGGGCATTTTCATTTTCTCGTTATGACATCAAGGAGTTACCGAATGTCTTATTTATCAAATTAAAACTCCTAAGATTTTTGGACCTTTCTTGGACAAAGATAAAACAGTTACCAGATTCAATTTGTGTGTTGTACAACTTAGAGACACTTATCGTGTCGTCTTGTGATTATCTTGAGGATTTACTGCTGCAGATGGGAAATTTGATCAACTTGCATTACCTTGACATTAGGTGTTGTTCTCGGTTGAAGATGCTGCTACATCCTAGCAAGTTGAAAAGCCTCCAGGTGCTATTAGGAGTTACATGTCTCCCAAGTGGTTTGAAACTCAAAGATTTGGGTGAACTCTGCAACTTGTATGGATCTCTATCAATTGTAGAGTTGCAAAATGTGGTTGATAGAAGGGAAGCTTTGAAGGAGAACATGAGGGAAAAGGAGCATATTGAGAGGTTATCATTGTTGTGGGGTAGAAGTATTGCTGACAATTCACAAACTGAAAGAGACATACTCGATGAACTACAACCAAACACAAACATAAAAGAACTGATTATCTCTGGATATAGAGGGACAAAATTTCCAAACTGGTTGGCTGATTATTCCTTTCTTAAGCTAGTGAAGTTGTCTCTTAGCCGCTGCAACAACTGTGATTCCTTGCCAGCACTAGGACACCTTCTTTGAAAGTCCTCACCATTGGGTATATGGATGGAATAACAGAGGTGACAGAAGAATTCTATGGTAGCCCATCTTCAATAAAGCCATTTAACTCTCTTGAATGGCTTGAATTTAATCGGATGTCTAGGTGGAAGCAATGGCACGTACTAGGAAGTGGAGAGTTCCCTGCACTTCAGAACCTTTTAATAAAAGAATGTCCCGAGTTGATGGGGAAGTTGCCTGGAAATCTTTGTTCTTTGACAGGATTGACAATTTCAAATTGTGCGAAATTCATTTTGGAAACACCTATCCAACTTTCAAGTCTAAAAAGGTTTGAAGTTGTCGGTTCTTTAAAGGTTTCAACTTCCAACTTTTTGATCACGCTGAGCTGTTTGCATCCCAACTTCAAGGAATGATGCAGCTAGAGTCATTAATTATTGAAAGTTGTCGCTCTCTTACCTCCTTACCTAATAGCAGTCTGTCGAAAACGTTGAAGAAAATAGAGATACATGATTGTGAGAAATTGAAATTGGAGCCGTCAGCTAGTGAGATGTTTCTCGAGAGACTGGTACTAACTGAATGTAATTCTATAAATGATATATCACCTGAGCTGGTCCCAAGAGCACACTATTTGAGTGTAAATAGTTGCCACAGCCTTACTAGGCTTTTGATTTCTACTGGGACTGAAGATCTAGATATTTCTGGATGTGAAAATCTTGAAATACTTTTGGTGGCATCCAGGACTCCAACGTTGTTGCGAACTATGAAAATTCACAGCTGCAAGAAGCTGAAGTCGCTGCCAGAACATATGCAGGAACTTCTTCCATCTCTTAATCATCTCCTCCTGTATTATTGTCCAGAAATAAAGTCCTTCCCTGAAGGAGGGTTGCCCTTCAGTCTAGAAGTCCTTGAGATCTGGTATTGCAAGAAACTGGAGAATGATCGAAAGGAGTGGCATTTACAGAGACTCCCTTGCCTCAGAGAACTTAAAATCTTCCATGGTTCTACTGACGAAGAGATTCACTGGGAGTTGCCTTGCTCAATTCAAAGACTTGAGGTATACAATATGAAAACATTAAGCAGCCAACTTCTCAAAAGCCTCACCTCTCTTCAATCTCTATCCACTCTTCGTTTACCTCAAATTCAGTCAATGATCAAAGAAGGGCTTCCCTCGTCTCTTTCTTCACTAACATTATCAGATCATCGTGAGCTCCATTCACTGTCAACTGAAGGTCTTCGGGGCCTCACTTCTCTTAGGCATCTACAGATTAGCTCCTGCAGTCAACTCCAATCTCTTCCGGAATCAGCGCTTCCCTCCTCCCTCTCCTGGCTGACCATCCATTCTTGTCCTAAACTTCAACATCTTCCAGTAAAAGGGATGCCCTCTGCCCTCTCTAAACTATCTATTTCACACTGCCCATTGCTCAATCCACGTCTAGAATTTATGAAGGGGGAATACTGGCCAAATATTGCTCATATTTCCACTATACAGATCAATGGGGAATACCTGTGATGATAAAAACAAATGGTACTCGGACAGATGTAAGAACTCTTTTTATCTCAGTAGCTTTTTATTTTTCGTTACTTCTCTTTGCTTGTTTGTTGATTCTTTTCCTTTGTTATATTGTTTTGTGCAGTGTGTAGCGTCTGTTGCACTGTGAAGCCGAGGAATCATCTTCAGATCAGGATGAATTTAATGTTTGATTACAAAAAAGAAGGTGAAAAAATATTTATATTCGGGTGGGAACACTATAATCATCATATCATCTTATCATCATCATATCATCATATATATATATATTATTATAAGTAGGAAGAGTTTAACCCAAAAGTTGATTTACCGTTTTAACCCTACAGTTTTAATAAATATTAATTTATTATAAATTAGCTCATAATAAATTAGCTGATAATACCTAATTTAATTCTCCAGAAACCAAACGTTGCCTCAGCCTCATCGTTCAACGTAACAGAGACGTAGAGTTTCTGCTCAAACTCCTCGATCAGTGCAACAGACCTTTTTCGACGCTCAGGTTCAGCTGATCGAAAGCCTTTACAGATACTTCAGGCATCTATATAAATGTCTCCAACAAGTTGTTATTGCCCATTAATCTGTTACTCTTTTCTGTGCCTCAATCAAATACAACATTGTCAGGTAAAAAAAAAATTCTCCTCATATTGTTGTTTAATCAATAAGTACGGTCAGTAAAGTACCCCACAGATTGTTGTTTAATCAGTAAGTATGGTCAGTAAAGTAAAATTTCTATCTGTTACTTCTTGATTCTGCTAGAAAGCATGCATTTTAAGTCGTTAGCAATTTTTTTTCTTTATGATCCGCATGTCTGGGATCTGTATCAAATACGAAAGTTGTTAGCAATGTTGTGCCTAATGGTTCTCTTTCCTATGCAACTTCTAACAGCAGCTTATTGGAAACTTTTGCACGAATCTGATCCTGCAGCGGTTCAGGTAGTCCTAAAAGCTCCATTATGATTTTAATGTAGGAACTCTTTTTTATTGTTCCAGAAGGACCTTGTCATTTGTTTATCTTCCTCCCATTTTTACTGATTGAATATAAGTTTTATGTGTTGAAATAGTTGACATTGTGAGTATTCTAATAAAAGAAATTTGATTGCAATTTCGCTCTACGATTAGTTGAATATCTACCCTAAATCCCACTTGTGGAACTACACTACGTATGTTGTTGTTGATTGGTTAGATATGTAGATGGTCCATCATTTAATCCCACTTGTGGAATATTTTCCTTTTATGATGAGTTGGAGCAATTGTCAAAGTTTAAGGATCATTTTATCTGAGTTGTTGTTTAGCCATCTGGATCCTCTTCTCCCATTTTAATTGTCCTTGAGAGTATTTTCCAGAATTGCCAGTGTGTCCTTTTCTGTAGTTAGCTAATCATTGCCTTCAAGAATCGCCATGAAAAAATAGACCTTTACTCTGCTTTTACTACTGAACGAGTAGTTGCAGTGCTTCACGAGCTCCTTAGTTTGACTATGGAAAAGAGGTTGACATCTGCTCAAATAGATGCATTTCATTCCAAGTTACAGTTACCAGCTAGACTTTTGCTTTGCTTAATCAAACAACATAGTATATTCTACATCACTAATAAAGGTGTCAGGAGTACCGTGATACTTAAAGAACAGTTACCAGCTAGACTTTTGCTTTGCTTAATCAAACAACATGGTATATTCTACATCTCTAATAAAGGTGTCAGGAGTACCATGATAATTAAAGAGGCTTATGATGGGTCTAATTTGATCCGTAAATACCCTAGGTTATTATTTAAAGACAAGTTTATAGCACTTACAGTAGGAAATGATATTGATTCATGTATCAGTGCTCCGACTTAGTTTATTTAATGAAAAGAGTGGTTTGACATTGTAGTTTGTTCTTTTTACCCTATTTCTCAAGGGTGTTGATCAGTGATGTTGCAGTGTTGTTCTTGTCAAGAAGGATATTTTGTGGCTTAATGTCGCAATGAATGATCTGGTTCTCACACTCTTCATGAAAGTATAACAGGCCTCTGGCAATGTCAAGTTCTGTGTCACTTCTTAGCTTCTAGCTTGGTCTTTGTCCATCGCAAAAGATCAAATTTGACACAGCCCCATTTTTCAATAATTCATAAACAACAAGCCCGTTGCTTTTTTCATTGCAGAAGCCTAACAAATGAACCAGATTTTTCTAATGTGTTAGGCCTATCACCCTTACTTCTGCCAAAAATTCTTTATAATCACCTTGTTCAATTCCATTTCCTAATTTCTTCACAGCAACTTCAACTTCTTCATCCTCTAACTTGAGAATTCCGCTATAAACACCACCAGAAGCTCCTTGGCCTAATTTATTCTTGATACAGTTGGTGGCTTCGTGCAGCTGCTGGATCGAAAATGCCCTTAAATACATCGCAATTGCCTTTCTTTTTGGAGGGGTTTTGGCATCTCAATATTTCTTCATAAAAGTGTGCTAATATATAGCAATTGCTGCAAAAAATTGAGTTCTGAGTCAAATTCGGAACGAGTGTGCTGAAAATCTTTATCATTTTTAATAAAGTATGTTGACAAAGGCACTTGGTGATTTCTTCCTAATTGGCCAAAGCTTTGGTCGATAGAGTTACCTGGTGTATGTGCTCGTGAGATAAGGCTTTTTAACATAATGCACACTTCTACTACATCAATACTATTGCCCGCACTCATAACAACACTGCTTTACAAATGTCTATCGAGAGAATGAGACAACTTAGCATGGCTCACACGTGCAACGCACGTGTCCATGACTAGTATTATTAAAAGTGGGAATCCTCAAGTTGCAAAGTTGAATTACCATTTTATCCCTATACTTGATTGAAATATTATAAAATATCTAATTAATTAAATATTAAATATGCCTAAATTGCTAAGTTGATTCACTTATTGTTAAAATAAAGTAGGAGAATGAAGAGTTGTAAAAATAATTAATTATAAAGTTACGAAAAACTATTAGAGAAACTTTTCGTTTCTCTATCTGATCAGTTTTAGGTGTAATTTTATCATAATGTGTATTAATACCACACCTCAACTATCTCATCATGTACCTTCACACCTTAATAATTGTAACATCCGGCAATTTGAAATAACTATGAAGAGGCTTAGAATCGGAAATAGTGAGTTTTGGGAAGAATTTAAAATCTGGAAATTTGGTTAAGTGTGGGAAAAAGTGAGTTTTTGGCCAACTTTGAACAGTCATAACTCCTAGATCAGGATGAGTTAGGTGTAGTTCCAGTTATTTTTGCGAAGCTCGTGGAATGATCTTTCCAACGCCGCCAAGTTTGCTCGATTCCAAGTTCGTATGAGTGAATTATGCCCTTTGGAAGTTGGGCTGTTGGTACAGGGAAGTCAGCCCGAAAATTTTAAGGGTATTTTGGTCTTTTCCCTAACCAATTCTTTTGGTTATTATATTAGGGATTTAGACTGATTTTTTTGATCAGTTTTTCCCTTTTTAAAAAGAGTGAGAGTGAGGATTTGTGAGTGAAGAGGAGATAGAGAAGAGCAAGCAAGGAGATCGTCGTGGTTTCGTCAGGGGTGATCCCTATTCAGGTATGTGAGATCATAGTGTTGGGTTGGTTCTTTCCCCCACACGCCAAACTCGTTTTAATTCCGAGAAAAGATTGGTTGTGTTTGTTGAGGTTGTTGGTTGTGTTGTTGAAGTTTCTTGTTGGTTTGGTGTATGTTTCCGGTTTTGATTTCGAGTTGAATCCATTGTATCTTTAGGGGATGTATGATTTGAAGTGTTTGGGGCTGGAAACTTTGAAGTTTAGAAGGTTTAGAGTTGGAGAAACTAAGGAGAAAAGTCGGATTTTCGGGGAAAAGGGCTGGGACGTCGCACCAGCCAGCGTGCCCCAAAAGGGACTCTGAAGTCCAGCCCTTGGGGCGGCGCGCCTAGCAGAGCGCCCAGCAGGCCTCTCTGAGGTCTGAAGGCTGGCGCTCCGCGCCTCTTAGAGCGCCAAGGACGTCAACCTTTCCCATTCATTCCCCACTTTTTCATACATGTTCCTTGGTAATGTACATATGTTTTATAGTTGTTTCCAACACTCCAAGGTACGTCTAAACGTCAAGAACTCATCCATAAACATGTGATCATATACCTTGAATTCATAATCCAATTCAAGGCGAGTTAGGATCAAGTCAAGTGAAGTTAGAGTCAAGTCTAGAAGTTAAGAAGCAAGTCTTTAAAGTTTTTTCAAGAGTCTTCATTGAACGTTTTAACTTCATTTTAAGGCTCAAGTTTCAAGTCAAGTAAAGAGTATAGAGTTTCAAGTTAAGTAAAAAGTATCGAGTTTCAATTTAAGCCAAGAGTATAGAGTCAAGTTCATTTCTCAAAAGTCATTAGAGAACTAAGTATTCCCAAAGAAGTTTTTAAATGTTTTCACATTTGAGCAAGAAAGGGAACACCGATTCCAAAAGAGATTTTTAAGCTAAGCTTTGAGCAATTATCTCAAACTAAAGAAAGATGTGTTTAAAAGCACTTATGAGCCAAAGTATTTTTGGGAGTAGTATTGAGCACCGAATTGGGGAAGCGAGTTCATATTAACTCAACTCTCCATAAGAACCATGTAGCCAACATGGGACTTGACGGGTCATTCTTTTTAGATGATCACGTAAGATTAAGCTAGTGGATCCACTAAGTAAAGTAAGGTCCTATATCACGGCAAGGTATAGGATGGTCCTTGGGCAACGTGAGGTAAAACGTTGCATCATTACTAGGGCTCATAGTGGTGGTTGTCGGTTAAAGAATCTCCCACAAAAGCTATATTACTTTTATATAAGTAAAGTTGAGTTTGTTATTGTTTTATCATTAACGAGCTAAGTTGTTTACACTGTTTTACAAGCTATTTATATATTGCATGTGTCTTATTGCTTTATATTGAGTTCGGTTATTCATGAGTTGAGCAGAGCCAAGGTAAGTGTTCTCATGTACTCCTTTCAAGCTTGAGTTGTGGTTTAGCTTTCCAGTTCGCATTCTCGTACA